TGAGCTGAAATGGACTGGTTTTGCCCATTTTGATTCAGACAACCATATGATCTACTATGCCAGAAATAACCAATGGAAGAGGAATGGTGTGGCATTCATCGTCACAAAGAATGTTTCAAATATCCTGAAGCACAATGCTGTCAGTGATAGGATAATATCCATATACCTATAATGAAGATCAGTTAATGCTACTATTATGCAAATTGAAGCACCAGCCACCAAAGCCAGAGACGAGGACATGGAAGACTTTTACCAACTTCTACAGTCTGAAATTAACCAAACATGCAATCAAGATGTGTTGATTATCACTGGTCATTGGAATGCAAATGTTGGAAAGAAAGAATCACCTGTAGTTGGAAAATATGCCTTTGATGATAGAAATAACACTGGATATCACATGATAGAATTTTGCAAGACCAATGACTTATTCATTGCAAATACACTGTAGACTTTGCCATATGGAGTCAGATTGACTACATCTGTGGAAAGAGGTAATGGAGAAGCTTAATATCTTCAGTCAAAACAAGGCCAGGAGCTGACTATGGAACAGACCATCACCTGTTCATATGCAAGTTCAAGTTGAAGCTGAAGATAATTAAAACAAGTCCATGAGAGCCAAAATAAGACCTTGATTATACCCCTCCTGAATTTAGAGACCATCTAAAGAATAGATTTGATGCATTGAATACCAATGACTGAAAACCAGAGGAATTGTGGGATGATGTCAAGAATATCATCCATGAAGAAAACAAATGGCCAGTAAAAAGGAAGAAAAAACCAAAATGGATGTCAGAAGAGACTCCGAAACTTGCCCTTGAATGGAGAGTAGCCAAAGCAAATGGAAGAAATAGCAAGATAAAAGAGCTCAACAGAATATTTCAAAGAGCAGTTTGAGAAGACAAATTCAATTATTTAAATGAAATGTGCAAAGACCCAGAGTTAGAAAACCTAAATGGAAGACCACACTCAGCACGTTTCAAGCTGAAAGAACTGAGGAAAAAATTCAAGCCTCAAGT